TCTGATACGTCTTTCCTGAAGCATACAGCTGCTGTGTGGTCTGCGACACAGCAAATACCAAAGGAAGGTAATGCCAGCGATCAAACTGTGCAGCAAACATGAACCTAAAAAGGAATCCCTTTTGTTGAGACAAAGCAAGTCTGCCTCACGTACATGTGGGCCATTTTAAGGCCTGTCTGTTCAGACCTTCAGTATTGTAAAATGTTCTCCTGCAGACAAATCCTTTCTGGAGAGGAATCCTCATAAGAATTGTATGTATCTAGCCAGTCACATTGAGGGACATTCAAACAAGTTTCAAGAGAATGAACAGAGGAGAAACCCATCTTTCAAATTACACAGGTTACTGTTAGTTCACTGAGGTGTCCACAGTCGAAACAGAAATAGAACTATTTCACTGATGGGCTTCTATTTTACAGGAGGGGTGGGGGGATGTCTGTGCTTTTTCAAAAACCCTGCCAGCAATTTTGGATGTCCCTTTACCCCTACATAACGAGAAGCATACAATGTGAGATATTTCATTACGACGCCCTTTTTTTCTAACTGAAGGCAAATTTAAACACGTTTTTGAATTACAAATAGACATCCTGACTGCACTGACCACAACGATAAGTAATCCACCCTGCTCAGTGATCATGAGAAATTCATGCGAGGCACATTAATTTCTTTTTTTTTTCTGAAATGACAAAGCAAACGGAAATGAATGGCATAACATGCAAATAACCAAGCAGTGCCCAGTTCCTTGTCTCTCGTTATCTGCGAGACGGGCAGGCAGGAAGGAATATTTTCACCAGGGATTTCTGCAGAGAGTCCAAGGTGCGCACCCGGCCGCGGTGCACGCAATGCACGGCGACCTCATAGGCAGTTCTAGCTGTCCATCATACAGCACATGCACGGGAAAACAATTCTCAAGTGTCAAAATTTTTTTTTTAAAAATAGCTAAGTGCCTTTGCCGATACGCTGTCACTTTTTCGCTAGGAATTTCACAAAAGAAGTCTACGCTGTACATTTGTAGTCAGAAATTCTGTAAAATAAAGAAAACTTCTTTCACTTGATGGCAAAAAATGCTATGGCAAAATGACCAAAAATGAAAGTGAGAGTTTCTAAAATTTATCTTGAAGAGATTGGGGCCATGTTTTCGAGACTGTTCCAACATGTATATCTGCATTAATTGTGTTCTTTGAATCAAAGTACACGTAACACTGTCAAATAATCCCTTGACAGGATAAATGAACCAGTTTCATCATGTACTGTACACTGTAGTGGATATCTGTCATCAGTGATTGTGAACAATTTCTCCCCTGAAACAGAATCTTCTTTTGAGTTATAGTATTTCAGATAAATGAAGAAGACGAAAAACTGTCCATTATGGAAATGGAAAAAAGACATTTTTTTCCATAACAGTGTTGTGCATCTCTCTTGAAAAAAATGCTGTGTTGTTACAAGGTTTATTCTGCAATGCAGTTTTTCCACTATAGCTGAAAATTACTGCCCAACACAAAGCAGCCGCTAGAACGTGCACCAAAAAAAAACAAAAACCCAAACACACACTTTTACCCTTTTTGTTAGGAACTATTGTCCACTGTACAATGGCTACCCACATTTGGCACTGTTTTTGCCTTCCAAAAACAGTCTGTTTCCCTACAAAGACTGACGAGTTGGAATCATTTGTGTACTGATGTAAATTAATACTGGTACACGAACATGTGAAACATGCATATGTTCTGTACACAATATACGACTGTAAAAATCTATGGGCTTCAACATGAATACACTCAAAGTTCAGCTCAATGCAGCAAGTCCTACTGCCAATTCTGCCCATGCTTGCATTTTACACGACATACAGCATTCCTTTCATTTTCACTTTTCCTTTTCAGTGCCAATCACGGTGTTCCGAGGGGCTAATCAAGCCAGCCTGGATAAAATTCGACTGCTTTGACTTAGTTTCTGTTGCAAGGATGGGTGGGACTGACACTCTCGCATTTCCCACTGTTAATCTTTGTCCATTAACAATCAAAACCAATTGGGCGCTAGTCTGTATTGCTTCAAGCAACCAAATCTGTTTCAATTGCACTGCATCACTCATGTCGTCAAAACAATTTCACTTTAAAAAAGATCTAAACTCAGACCCCATTCAGATTTGTATCTGTGACGATATTCTAAATTGTGACAAAGTCCATGGTATTTGAGGCAGTTAAAAATACAAAATCCCACATTATTCCAGATTCTGTGTCAATCGTCCGAGTGGGACAAAGGAAGGCTTGTCAGAAATTACATTTAGGACGAGGAGCAGCCCCAATATACATGTATGTGAAGGGTGTAGGATTTGTCCATTCTGTTACTACAATAAATGTACATGTACGAGTATGTCGAGTTTTGCTTTTCCAACCTGGCGCGACCGTGTAGATCTTTTTTTTTTTTTATATTGGGCTGTAATACTATGAGAATGTGCATTTAGGAAGGGGGTCTTCCCCGACAGTGAAATAAGCAATATTTTGTTGTTTGAAAGTATCGGTTCCTGTACGTGAAGTCACTGATCGGCATATTTAAAACTGACAATCAACCTCAAATGTGGACAGATTCCATGCTAAAACTTCCAGAAAGAATACCTGGCATACAATTGAAGTCCCTCTAAAAATATTGAAAGCAGCTTCCAATAGTTTGTCTAAAACTCGTACCCGCCATGGTACGTACATGTACGGTACGTAAACAGACAAGCACGCACGTGTAATGAACAGGGTTGGTCAGAAAGTCATACACAAAAGGCGCACGCTGGTTCCATATGGAAAGAAAATATGGCCATCACTTCCCCAATATTTGGCCTTCAGGAGAAATGTTTCTTTGGAAATGCTTGCTGCAGTTCAAAATCAATACTCAGAGTGACTAGGGTCAAAGAAATATTTTCCAAAAAGGACAAGTTTGTTTGCCAGTTTTTGTACCGCAGGACTGAATATCGACGGCTGTATTTTTTTCTCACACAACTCAGCATCAAATTGGAGTCAACACCCCTATTGTCTGGAGATAAAAACGGCATTGCAAAGGTACCTCTACATCCAATAATTGATGGCAAGGAAAGCTCACCTCACTTTTGCTTTTCACAATGCTTTATCAGATCAGCACAATTTTTAAACAGGACAAATCAGAAGTTCAGAACCACACAAAATGGTGGAAAAAATGTTGTAGAAGCAGGTATCACTTTTCATGCTCGTTCTACCTTCTAATTTCTAATCAACAGAGTATGAGGATTGAAAGTCTAGATTTGTTCAATCCAGGAACAAAACAAAAACAACCTGAGGGAGATACTACACTTATCATTTTGAAAGACTCTCTGGGATGGATTCTGAATTCACAAAATATTGCAGAGTGTTAAGCTGGGCTCATCAACTGCATCTATCTTTCTTTTTGAAATACAATCTGACCTTCCAAAATTATTTTCTTCCAGTCCACTGCAATGGTGTTCAAACCTGGAAACATTTCAACAATACAACCAGCACTTGTTTTAGCTGACTTGTTTCCAAATATTAGTATCTCTAATACATAAAAATGTCAAAGGCTTGTAATTTGTCCCATGTACGAATGTGTATGAAGAAAGCATCCCCATCACTAGATCAGAAATGAACACTGATTCCTCCCTCCCCAAAAAAGTTAGTGATTACTGCCTGCAAAATGGCCAAGTACCGCTATTTTGCAGCTAAATTAACAGAAAAAGGGAGGAAATCAATGAATGAGAAAAATTACACAAGTAGTTTTTAAAAAATATAAAGAAAAAATGCCTAAATATCACTTCTTTCGACTCGGGGAAAACAAAAAGTTGTTCAAAAAATTCTTCAAGAAATGAAGATTGACGCAGTGTATTACCGCTATTTCCACATCGTTTGCAGGAAGTGATAGAATGTTTTAATATCAAAATCCATGTACAAGGCACATATATCCCCACCCAAGTTCCATGTAGGTAAATACTAAATTTTTTTTCCGGTCCAGCAAAATACTGTAAACGCCCAATATTTGACAAATGTTCAATGGTCACTTTTTAGTAAAAACCAACCCAATTTGTTCGGACACAAGAAATTGAAACCTGAATGTTTTCCTCCACGAATGACTTTGTGTACGTGAAATGGTATAACTTTGGATTTCTGCAGGTACATGTACAACTGAACAGGTCAATGTTTATTTTCTTCAATCAGTTCCATTACTGCAAGATCAGGTGTATGCTAAGTACATACTGATATGCAATACAATATGGATCCATTCTTAGACATTCAAACGCAAGAAAACAAAATTCAAAAATCTAAAAATTAACATCCATCAAAAGTTTCACTGCGATGCCATTTACTAGTACTTTACTTGAGCCAGATTATTTTGCCGATCTCCAGATGGAATCAGGTCTTAATTTACAGCCTCTGGTCAGCAGGCTGCTTATGAATCGAGCAACCATGATGGTTCAACATACCGACCTTATCTCAAACCTTGTCCAACAAATTTCAGGGAAATAAGGCCACTTTCTGCTGACTGCACCCCACCACTTCGGACACCAAATACCCTTGAAGTCTACTTGTGCACCAAACAATCAAAAAGAACCCAAATTTAGTGTCCAACTGAATGCAAAAAAGGCGCATGAAGTCAAGAGAATGGTGTCAAGATGCCATCCATGTTAGTGTTTCCACGGGAAATTTCACCAATTTATTTAAATGTCAAATTTATCCCCCCCCCCAAAAAAATTCTGTACATCAATCTTGAAGAAAAATTGAACGTAAATATATTCCTTAAACAGCAATAGTTGATTTCAGAAGTAGCAATCTGCACGTGCTGAATAATTGTTACAATGCAAGGAGACAACTGGTCTATTACTTGCAACAAAATGGTTCAGGAAATTCAACCCCTAAAAAAAAATGGCCAAAATTTTGCAATTTCAGCACCGATCGATGCACGGGATGTGTGAAAATTGCCAGCAGGACAGGAGGTAGGACATAACTGTGCCCAGAAAGTGGGAAAATCCAGCCTACCTTTGTGCCACAGGTACATACTTGGGTCCCGGCAGGCCGACAGGTAGAGCTGCCAGCTGTAGTACATAGACATTGGGTTGGCCTCCATTGTATCGAGTCCCCTGAACGTGCCAGTCAGTTGCCGCACTGTTATAGTAACTACTCAATGTGTAGAGTCTGTGTGTACTACGGGGGCGATGAGCTTACGACACGGGGCTCTTATTGACTGGCGACCCGGTAGTGCTGACTCAGTCGGTCGGCGGCAAGTACCAGCTCGGTCGCTCCGCCGGTCAGGGGCTGCTGAGCTCCGCTGTGTAACGCTTGCCGTTAACAGTGACCGTGCCACTCACACTGTGTGAGTGTGTGTATGCTGAATGCTGTATGCAACCGTATTGCTGGGCTGGGACTGGCTAGGCAGACGCAGTGCATCTGACTGGGTGTGCAGTGGACAGAGAGAGGCCCAGGCTAAAGGAATCCTGGGTCAGCGAGCAAGCAAGCAGCTACTGGTATCTGGGAAATCCTTAAACCACCAGCCGAGCTCTATCAGTTACTGCAGCAGCGTTTTGTCCGAGCAAACGGTGACTATTTGAGCACCCAAACTGCCCTATCCAACATGGATGCGGATGCATTCATCACACGCCTTTGTTTCTTCTTGGTTTTTCGTTTCATAAACGAAAACCACGACAGTCACACAGAACTGCAGAGAGCCCCCAAATTTCAACTCCTTCCAGTAAGGCACAGAAAAAGCTGTCAACTTTATTCTTCTTTTTTAAACAAACCCACTCAGAGGAAGAGCTTTATAAAGTCAAGCCAATCATCAGATAAAGATCAGTGTTCTGATAAAAGAGAAGAAACCGGGCTGCCTGTCAACTATGATCAAGGCCCAACAGTACCTGCCTGCGTACACAGCTTTTGGGGAATGTCACATCAAACCACACACACACACCCAGGCATCACCACACACCAAACAGGTACCCAATAGGGTAAGGTTAGTTTGGTAGGCCCGCCTCCTTGTAATTACCCACTGTTTGTCACTTGAAATTAAGATTACAATCACTGGGTGACTTTTTTCTCCCTCTTTTTATGACTGTTTGCTTTTAACCCTAATACCTGCTATAATCCTCAGGATATCACCCACAGACACAATTATGAAGCTTTAACAAAAGCTAGCCAACTTTCAATATCAATGGTTTAAATTCAGCATCCCTAAGTTCCAATTTTGGAGTATTTGGGAGGCTTAGCACTTTAATAAGCCTTCAAAGTGGATTCTTTAAGAGTTGCTGCCCTGAATGCACATTTGACAGGCAACCAATGCCTTGCAAAACAATTTCATAACTTTAAATGAATTTTCATTGTTTGATTTATTTTTTTATTTATTCACAGTGTGAAAATTACGAATGGAATTGTCTTACATACTTTTGTATGGAAAAAAAGGAATAACAGCCTCTTTCTGGATTGCTTGAAGTTCCAAAACTCGGAAAAATTACTCCTTAAGGAAGCAAAAAAATATTGTCCAGAATTTGTCCTGAGTTGCACCCGAGTTTGATATCATCTTGCTCCCAATGCTGAAATTTACTTTAAACTGAAAATTACAAAATACCTGTGAAAGTTTGGAAACAAGATTCTTTCAAGGGGTCATGAACATTAAGTGCATGTAAACACATTACTTTGCAATCAGTTGAAAAGTGTTACTGCATGTATTCCAATTTTTAGTTTGTTTCCCAGACTGTCCAATTTCAGTTATATCTGTATCACTTGACAATGACAGATTCAATTCGAATGCAGTCTTTTTTTTTTCTTTAACTTTCAGGAGTGCCTTTATCTGAAATATTTTGATTGACTGAATTAAAAAATCATTTCCATGGTCTAGAAACAATGGTGGCTGGGTTCTGGAACCTCTTCATAAAAAAACCCACAAAATGTTATCAAAACCGATGAACAAGTGATGACGTACAAATTACAATCCTACAAAAAAACAAACCTAACATGCATATATTTTTTTAAAAATAGCATCACTTCTAATGTTTGAAGTTTGAAATGCAACAACATGTGAATGCAGCTGCCATGCATACATTGTACACCATGCCAAACAGGGAACTGTTTGTCTTTTGAACATGACCAGAGTGGGTTTAGGACTAGATTTCAGAGGCCTACTCTTACAAGATCAGAAAACCTTCTGCAGGCGTGGTGTCAAAACCTGGTTGCAACTCTTACAACACAACCCACACATCTATTAAAACTGAAATTTTAAACTTGGTTACCACTCTCAACAACTGATCCGCATACATGTACATGTTGAGTCAGAGGTTCTGTGTGTCTTGCAAACCAAAAATTACATGCACAGAAGCTGAAACTCCACTGCACACTTGATTGTGATTTAGTTTTTAAAAAAGTTTTAATGGCCCCAGATCAGAAGCATCTGGCAGTGGCTTTCTGGAGTATAACTTGTGCAAAACCACAGCTGGGACCCTGCCAAGTCAATCCCCACACTATCGTCCTATTGGATGTTGCTTCTGTCCACCACAACCAATCAGAATGCACAGCTTGCCCTGTGGGTGATCATGACGGTGAAACTGTGGTGTAGAAAATGCTTCCCAGACAGACGTACTGTATAAGATGCACACAGCAAGTACAAAGTCTACATACGTACATGTTTAATGTATGATCATGACTGTGCTCAAGCACATGCAAGAGACCTGATGGTCAACTTCACTGAGAACAAGTCAAGATAACTACGGACAAATACATACTGCACTTTGTGGACAGATCAGGACCATACATTGTAAGTCATGAACTTCCAATTAAAAACTGGAACATGCTTAAATTACCCTCCCTCACAGTTTCAACAAAATTTACTTTGCATACATTAACCACACCAGGCCGCACAAATATGGTTCTTGAGAACAAAAGTATAGACAATGCACGAAACAAAAACCCCTTCGTTGCCCACACATGCCGTGTTAACTCAGATGTCCAAGAATAAGCATGCATTTAAAACTAAAGCTAAGTATTAATGACACAGTTTCAGCAAAAAGGTCACCCCTAAAAACCACTGAAAAATTGATAATTCACAATAAAAGTCCAGCATCAATCTTGTACTACCGGGACCTAAAGTAAACCAGACTGCCGCTGTACTTTCTGAACACAAGCATGAGAGCCCTCCACAATTTTGACCAAAAAAAAACTGATAACAATGAAGTGGTAGAACAGCTCGGTGCTTGGGCAGTGAAACACATGTCTCGGAGTCTGGCAAAAAACCAAACCATCAATTAATCAATATGCACTGAAATCAAACCGCTGCGGCATTGATCACTGGTAGCCTGCAGCGCCGGCTACCCGAGGGGAGGTCACTGGGACATGTCATGCACAAACACTGTGTTGAGCTCGTTGCATTGTTGGTAATGTTTGCTCCCTTGAAACTACCTTGCTTGTGCAGGGCATGACTTCTATCATAGGAAGTCAGCTTAACGACAGGTCGCAATTGGTTTCAGCATAAAAAAAGGAAAGAAAGGAAAATGAACAATTGGGGAGAATCTGAAATATTATTTATTGCTTGAGTAAAGAATTCCAGTCGACATGAGTGTGTTATTTTCTAATGGAAAGTGTAATACGTAAGGGGAGGATTTCTTCAACCAACAAATTTTCTCCCTTTCTAATCCTAAAACCCCTTTTCGAGTATAAATGTACTTGATCTAAACAAAGTTCATATTCAATTAAATCTACTAGTAAGGGGTGCCTCTGGATATGATGATCATGGACAAGACTTGGACTGAGAGAGGGCTACTAAAACCAGTTTACAAGCAGATGAATGAATTTCTCTTCAAAACTGATGCAAAACTTTAAGATACACGTGTACAAACAATGCCCAATGTAACAATCTCCCCCTTGCCTGACGCACTTGTCACTGAAAAGAAATTCTGCAACTGAACCAACTCAAACTTCCCCCACATACAAAAATTCCCATTAAACACCAATCATCATGAGCCTTTGAACTCGCTGAGATTTATGACATTGTCAGAGAGTGTTCCCTAAACTGCCCACAGTGCAGTTATCAGTGACAAACGGGGAACCAATTAACATCACTCAGTCTGCCTGTATGTTTTACACTGGAGACCCCATGCTGTCATTCAGAGGTATTCCACCTTTTTTCCTCTGTTAATTTTCTTGGTGTTTCTTTTGAATGGTACATATAGCTTGTGAAGTAGGACCCATTTATCAGTATCACCAACAGGGAGTAGAATCGGGTAATCTTCAAGAAGCGTTTGTGGTTGGGCAAGCTCATTATTGTAAATTAAGATGAAACCTGCACTGAAGTACTCGTAGATACCAACCCTGTCTTCATAAAACCATGGCAATGTACATGTGTCCTGAAATCAAGTGTTTGGTAACATATATTTGAAATTGTTTTCTCCTTAGAAATTCTTTATTTTCATTTGTATAGATTTAATTTACAATTCTCCTTTTCTTTTTTGTTTTAAGAAACTTTTAAAAATTCAATTAATTTTATATCAATCTACCAGTATGTTTGATTATCCAATTACAATTTTGTTTTCAAATTGACAACTTTGGAGCCATATTTTAAAATTTCTTTTCAGGGGGTTCTTGAACATACATTTTCACCTTATACTCCCCAAAACATGTAAAATCATCCAAATATGGTGTAAAAATTACAATAAAGAGATGAATCCTCCAGAATTAGCCATTCAAAGACTGAAACTTGACTACTTGAACTCTTTTAGAATCATCCAAGTTCTGTTCATGATTGACAGAGAATCTACAGAATTGGGTATCATTTATAGACCCCTGTACAACCTAAATATCACCCCACATATCAACCTGATGCCCCTCCTGATGAATGAAGCGTGACCCCCAAAGGGGTCAAGAGGGACCCTGAGGGTATGACAGGGGGGACCAATTAGCGCCTCTGAACACCGGGAACTTTCAGGAACTTATTGCTGTTGTTGGTCTGCACTGTGCACTGTGTGAGGCCTCAACAGCATCTCCAAAGTGGCATGTAACGCATTCTACAAGAGACATTTAGAATCTGTGGTAGCCAGGAGTCCGACCTACCAGTGACGACAGGCTGACGAAGGACTGGGAAACCGTTTTTACACTTTGTCTGACAGCAGGGATAAATATCTGTCAGAGGCAGAGTTGGATTGTATTTCATTAGTGATAGAAATGACCCACACTACATACTTCATCATTTTGATCGTTTAAAAAATATATGCATGTGCACAACTAGGATACTTGAGTCTGTGGGTACATGTTAGCATGTCCCCTGGTGACAAGGAACAAACCACAAACACTGCTATACAGGTACATGCATAACTGCTGCACACAGTTGTGCCACAGTCATTGTCCAGTTATGCAAATGTGACTTTTTTTTCCAAATATTACATCCAATTTTCATGTAACGCTTGCCAAAATGTATGCCACAAAATCCGAAGACTTGGTGCAACAACCAACATCACCCCCCAAAAAATTACAATAATAATGAAACCAAAACACAAAACCGGTTTTAAAATTGGACAGCCAACAACCTGTAGTGTACACAATGCAAGGTGTCTCTGACTCAAATCGCTGTGAGACCTGTCCAATGTCACGACTCCTGTCAGAAATGAGAGTCAAAGGGAACAGAAGGAACGCTTACATTCTCATTTCCAATTGAAAAGGAATAAATTTCCACCGGCATCTGCCAAGCTCAGACATTTCCATTCTCTTAAAAAAAAAAACCTGCATCACAAAATGAACCACAAGACAAGATTTATGGCCCGGTAACACCCACCACCCAAGGAACCCTCCCAGAAATTAGTCCGAATACTTGGCAAGTCACAAATCATGGAGTGCTTGCCAGAATATTGGCTTACTGACAGCTGGCATAATTTTCAGGAGTGCC